TGCAAAAAACTGAAGCATATGTCTAAGAAGAGGTTTTCATGCCTGCCTATAAGCTTTAGCAGGTTTTGCGGTCTGCTAGTGAGAGTCTGTCTGCTGTAGCTCAGGCTTCTAAATGGAATATTTCTGTATTATTTGCTAACTAATTTTAGGGTTTCAGCTAATATACTCTCATGTGATGTAGATGCACAGTCAAATCTCCTAGTCAGTCTGCGATGGATACTATTATAAGTAAAGGAAGAAGTGCAAAAAAGCCATTGGTAGTAGCAGGTTGTGTTCCTCAAGGAAGCCGTAATCTGAAAGATCTGGAAGGAGTTAGTATAGTAGGAGTTCAGCAGATTGACCGTGTGGTTGAGGTTGTGGAAGAGACTTTGAAAGGTCATGAAGTTCGGCTACTAACCCGGAAGACATTACCAGCACTTGATCTTCCAAAGGTGCAATTTGAAATAATTTTCTATTTATTTGAGTTGAAAACTTTATAAAACAATAGAAAATATCCGTTTTGCGTTTATGATCAGCTTTGATTTATTACAGTAAACATCAGCTCTCATATATTGGTCCCTCTCAATTATTTTCTAACTAAACCATTTGATATATCTTACAGGTCCGAAAGAACAAGTTTGTTGAGATTCTTCCAATAAATGTTGGTTGTTTAGGTGCTTGTACTTATTGCAAGACTAAGCATGCCCGTGGTCATTTAGGAAGTTACACAGTTGACAGCCTTGTAAGTTCTCCATATAAGAGTAGGAAAATCTATTTTTTGATCTTCTTCTAGCTTTTTGATTCAGAATCTGAATGTAGGTGGGCCGAGTCAAAAATGTCATTGCTGATGGTGTGAGGGAGATCTGGCTGAGTAGTGAAGACACCGGGGCATATGGTAAAGTTTTAAGTATTTGTTTTATTTTACCTTCAGAAGAAATAGATAGGGGTAGGGAAAGAGGGGGGGGAGGGGGCACTCTTACATTTTATTTCTTGAAACTTGTTGTCATAACATTTGTGTGGTTGTAAGACTTATTGAAACTTCTGGTCTTAAACATGCCATAACATTTGTGTGGCAATAATAGCTTATCGTTAAAGTAAAAACAGGAAATTCAAGTTAAGTTGTTTTCAGATTTAGAAAGGTTTCATTTTTTTGGATCAGACTAATAGGGAAATAATGTTGTTCTTTTTATAATGGAGGGAGTAACAGTCATAAAGCACTAAGAAACAAAAAACTGAACATGTTTTAAGTTACCAATTTCAAAAAAATAAATAAAATTAAACATGTTTTAAACTTGCGTCCTTTTAGTTTTCCTAGTTTTCTTGAGTGACTTCGTACATATTATCTTTATTTAGTTACCACAATAGTATTGGCAATACTCTCTAGCTGTGAATGCTAGAAAAGCAATAGTTGGCAATAATGCTAGTCCTGTGTTAAGTGTAGGGCACAAGCCTAATAGGCTGGAGCTCCATTTGTTTGCATTAAGATTAAGACATCAAAATGATTTAAGATGTTTTTACTAGATCTGAAATCTAGATGACTAAAGCGGTTTGTTTTTCAACTTTTGGATGTACATAGTTTATTTATTTTTAAACATAATAAATATATTATTCAATTTTTTAAAAAAAGTAATTAAATATAATAAAAATATAACTTTAATACAATAAAATCATTGTTTGATTAAAAAAATAAATAAAACAATAACGTTCGCTACTGTTGGTGGAGATAGTTTGTGTGGTGGTAAAGTTGGTTGAGGGAAGTAATTGGCGCTGGTGCTAGTGGTGGTTGCTCGTAGAGATTGTCCGCGAAAGCGTTACTGGCAAATAGTGATGGTGGAGATGGCAACGGTGGTGGCGGTGGCAGTGGAGGTGGTAAGTGTGGTAGCGACTGATCGTAGTGGTGGTTGTGATGACAAAGGTAATTGGTGGGAAGGTGGTGGGGCTTGTGTTTGTGGATAGAGTGGTAGTGGAAAGTATTCTCATAAAAAGTACCTATTAATGATATTAACTCTTTGTTTAAGATCTTAATGATTAATGCTTAGTTAGACCAAATAAGTAAGTAAATCTGAATGTAAATTTATGCACTTAACGTATGAACCATTCAAATCTAGTCCTCCATTAAGTGCAAACAAATGAGGCCTAGTCTATCAAGAATGTAAAACACTTTTGTGTTTCTCAATTTTGCAGGTCGTGACATTGGAGTTAATCTTCCTATTCTATTGAATGCTATAGTTGCACAGCTTCCTTTGAATGGAAGTACAATGCTCCGAATTGGGATGACCAATCCTCCTTATATTCTTGAGCACTTGAAGGAAATAGCTGATGTCTTATGTCATCCATGTGTGTATTCTTTTCTTCATGTGCCAGTTCAGTCGGGTAGTGATTCAGTCTTGAGTGTAAGTTTGAATTACATAATATTAATCGACATTTTCTTTTTGCTCTTGGACAACCCTTGTGATATAGGCCCTATGCTCGCTGTCATTAGTAATGTTATTGCCACAAATAGTTTATCATAAATTTCTCTTTTCTCTGTTCATCAATTTCAGGCAATGAACCGTGAATACACTGTAGGTGAGTTCAGGAAAGTGGTGGATACATTAATGGAATTGGTCCCTGGGATGCAGATTGCAACAGATATAATTTGTGGATTTCCTGGTATGTCTGAACATCTTGCTGCCTAGTAAGATGTTTTCAGTGAGTATGTAAGACCTGATTTTTTGTCTTCACAAGTTAGAAGCTATTTGCTTGGACTCTCCAAAAATGTTGTCGTACCCGTGGCGAGCATCCAAAAAATTGATATTGGAGGATCCAACACACACTCGCCCACATTTTAGTCCGAGCAACATAGATTAGAAGCTTAGTCTTCCACTCTAAGAAGTCCCCTCCCCCTTGGAATCAATTAAACTGAAGCATGGTTTTAGAATAGGATTTTTTTCTGTACAAAGAAATGGAACAGTTTTCTTTCTTCTTTTATAAAAAAAGGTTGATTTATAATCCTCATAACTACTGTAAAAAGGGTGAATTATTCCAGTTGTTTTTTTTTGCTCATATTCTACTGTCACATATTCTAAATTATCAAAATTGGCAGTTGCTTTACCGCTCATTTGTGTTAGAGACGCTCTTTTAGACTTCCGGTCTGAAATATTCTACAATATTTTGATTTTATTATGATTTTGCCAAATCATCAAGAGTTAAGGCTTGGACCAAGAATTATTCTGATCAATTCTGCTTCTGGAAAGACCTTGCACCAAGCATGATGATCTGTCCTTGCATTGCAGGTGAAACTGATGAAGATTTTGCTCAGACAGTTGACCTTATTAAGGACTACAAGCTTGCTCAAGTTCATATATCACAGTTCTATCCTAGGCCTGGTATACTGTTTTTCAGTTTTCAATTGTTAGATGTCTAGATATACCATTCTGGAAAATAAAGGAAAAAAGATTTCCCGTGTCTCTTGATCCACTCTGAAAATAACTATAGCAAAAAGCTCTAGTTATTGCATCTGCAAGTGAGGGATGTGAAGCTTTCTTTAGTGGTACATTCTGTGATGCATGGCTTTCAAATTTCTCATTGCTTACTATAAGGTTATATGCACTAATTTGGAACTATAAGGTTATATGCACAAACCAGCTTAATTGATTAAATTGGTACTTCTGTTTTTCACAAATCGATGTCAGGCACTCCTGCTGCAAGGATGAAGAAGGTTCCTAGTAATGTGGTGAAGCAACGTAGTCGTGAATTAACTGCTGTATTCGAGTCCTTTACTCCATATACTGGAGTGGAAGGAAAAGTAGAGAGGATATGGATTACAGACGTAGCTTCAGATGGGGTTCATTTGGTAAGCATGATAGAAAGCCAGATATCTGGATAACTGCTATTGTTTCATAATTGCTTTTCAACACTTCTAAAGCTTTAACTACCTAGGTGCAGTTTTTTTGCGGGAACATGATGGGTTTCCTATATTCTAAGTAAATTCATTTATTTTAAAGTATAATAATTGGTGAAAGTTTAATTATGAAACACAAATTAGTCTTTATAAGATCAACCAGCAAAGACAACTCTGATCATACACATGCCTCAAATCTCCTACTCTTACTTCCATCTGTGTGTGACAAGCAAGTAAATTTCCCTACAAAAAAATTCAATATTGTTCAAATTCCTATATGCATTTCATTTCCTGAATGACCATCGCTTGATGTTGCATGTTAGATGCAAATATCTTCATCCCCATGAGTAACTCTGTTTTCCCCCAATGGTTTAGGTTGGACACACTAAGGGATACATTCAGGTCCTCGTGATTGGTCCAGAAAGCATGCTGGGTTCCTCCGCTATGGTGAAAATAACATCTGTAGGTAGATGGTCAGTCTTTGGAGAAGTGATTGAGATCCTCTGCCAAAATGACAAGGATGTCCCCTCACACAGGAGTTTTGATGAAAGGTGCTCCCCATGCGCCCTTTCAGAAGAAGCTTGTGCCTGTTCAAAAGAGCAAGAACCTTGCTCTGCAACATCTGATTGCTGCAATCAAAGTCCAACTGTGGAAGCAACAACACTGCTAAAGAATGACCCTAATCTAGATAATCATAGCAGCAGAAACTTAATTGGATGGTTTCTGAGGAACCGTAAGAATCAGTCTTCCAAAAAGATGGACTTAACTAGTTCGGAGTCTAAGGAGAAGCCGATACAGGATTTAAGTCACCGGAGCGCTTGGAGTCTTGTTGATATAGCTCTACTTAGTGGAATATTATTGAGCTTGTTCACAATAGTAGCTCTATTTTTTAATCTTGGATCAAGGAGTTTGTCATCCAAGTAACTCAATTTTGTATCTTCAATTTTTTTTTTCTCTTAGTCACAAAGTTGAGGGCAGATGCGCTCTTGCAAGAGTTTGACATTGTGGTTTGTTTTTATCACAGTAATGTGATGGATTTTGTGTCAACCATGTGCTATACACACTTGGCAGTAATAGTAATTTCTCTTGTAACCAGAAAAAATGAGTCTGGCAGTGAACGTAATTTGAGAATTTAAGATGGGTACACAATCCTAATTAACTTTGAATTTACAATACTTTTTACATCTAAACAGATACAAACAACTATACTCTACAACCTCATAGGATGATTACAATATCAACCAAGAAAATAAACAAAGACTTGTTAATTATGCAAGTAGGGATTAGGGGGGAACAAGGGAAACTGCTCTTCCATTTGTGTCTTGTGTAGCAGCCTTTTATACCCCACTTATTCACTGAACCCATCTCTCTATTTACAACTTGAATACAATGGATAAGGTGAAAATTTACCAGCAACTTACAAAAGCATATCAGACTTAGATGGTAACCTCTTGAAGAAGTTAACAGGTACTGATGGCAGCTTGCTCCTGAATCGTGGATGGCGCAGCCAGTGAAGTCCTATGAGCACTGCAACTACTTTGAATGGAGTAACATATAGAAACACAGCCCAGATCAATGCAAGGATTATAAATATAGCAGTAGCCCTTGGATCCCGCCAGCTTAGTATGGAAAGAGCCCTTTCACCTTGTATTGCCAAATCTCCAACTACAGTTTGCACCCTCCCCACCAAACTCCTCAGTCGATCATACCTCATTCTTATGACGTCTGTTTGCCGAGAAGTAGGGAATGTATCAAATTCTTCATCCAGTTCATCTGGGTGAGCATTTTCAGCTTGCGAAAGGCGAGCATCCAAGTGCAGTGGAGCTCTAGGTCTAATCCTGTAGTTCCACAAGCCAATTACAAACAGGTAGAGGAAAATTGTTGGTAAAATGAGTTCTGGATAGCAAATCAATATCACGAAGAGCACATGGACAAGGATAGTCGTCAAAGGGTTTCGCCAATTGCAAATCCCATAAAACCATCCATGAACTGCAGAAATCCCAGAAAGCAGTCCCGTTATGCGAAAGAAATTAGCTTTGCTTCTTCTGAGACTGAACATCTGGTAATCCACATCCAGCATATACTCAACAACCTCCTTTCTAAGAGGTGGCTCAGCCCTGGCCAGCCTTGCAGCTACTATCTGCACTGCCTGGTGGCGCAACCAATCAATACGCCTAACGGGAATGGGATGCACATGATGCATTTTCGGGAGCAATGGCCTCCCATATTGTGCTACCATATTTACCCAAGCAGTACACTTGAACCTTATGGTCAGATGAAGCTCACCATGTTTCCTTAAACCAGAGGGTGTAAGAACCAGCAATGGATAAAAATCTGTATAGATCTGATCAGTTTCCAAAGTCGATAACCTAATTCTCACCTTACCAATTCTCTGAATTCTCACCTTACCATTTCTCTGATCTCTAGCTTCATCTTTGCCATTGATGTGACAATTGTCAAAGACCCCAATGGTGACAACAGTACACGGATCAAACACTTCCCAAGAGAACTGCTCGTTCCATCGAGGAGCGAGAGTGTCAATGAGTGTTCTTGTTCGAACCCATTTATTCCCATACTTAGCAACACAATATGAATCTGTAATTCGATCCTCTTTACTCTTCATTGGCATCAGATTCTTGGCACTGAGAATACCTAATTCAAAAAGTCCAATACTCGGCTTTCTCAAGAACTTTGATGATGGTTGAAGATCACTGCTAAAATGTGTGGACTCATCAAGAACATGGTAACCAGCATCTATCCAAACTCTAAGATGAATCTTGCTAGAGAACTTCACTTCTTTCTTCTTCTCGTCATCATCTGCTGCATGAGAAGGCTTGAGAAGATTGAACCATATAGCATCTATTAGCTTAGAGTTATCGACTCTGGTTGGAATATTTTTAAGTGATATCATAGCCCTGCCAATCAATTCATCTTTTCCCGGTCCAACTCTATCCACGACATCTATTATCAAATACTCCTCAAATGGCTCAGATACAACAAACATTAGCTCCTCATTCCACACCGGATTAATGTGTCTCATCGGTGAGGGCTTGGTAGTCCTTGCCTGGTGCCCAAGCTGTAACTTGGCATAAGCCTCGGGCATCCGGCTTCTATCTGATGGCAGAAGATCCTGAGATTCAATAACATGAACTCTTAGATAATACAATTTAGGTGAGAAATATACTTTGGATCGCGCATTAACCAAATTCTGTTGACTAGCCATATGAGCATCAGAATGCGAAGCCTCAGGAAAAGCCTCATCAGCTCGAGTTCCCATCCACACAGCAAGCATGATTTCACCTCGTGGAATCTTCTCTCCTTTCTTATTGATCAACCTATACCATTGCGGAGCTAAAGTACTATCTGGTGGAACAAGAAGAGGGACTTCATCAATATCAAACATAACTTTACCAACAATATCATCTTTCCCTAAATCCTTATCTTTTACAGTGACTTCAATCAAATTAGACTGCAGTCTTTCTTTAGAGAAGGCAAAAGCACTGTTCCATACAGGGTATTGATTCTTTTCAAAATGCCTTGTAACACGTTCGTAATTACCAAGTTTCACCTCAACATAAGGATCAAGACTCCCTGATATATCCATAACTGGAAGATCCCTAGCTTTGACAACATTAATATTCAAAAAATGCATTTGGTCCACCAAATCAGAAGCAGTTTTATCTTTACCCCAATACCCCATTCTTGCAGCCAAAGGTGGCCTTGTTTCCACTAACCGCGATTCAGGCCTTGGACCCATCACCCATTTGCATCTGCTTTACATTGCTAGCCATTGGTCCACCTGCCTATGCAAAATCAGCCCTTGGCCAGACGCCGGCACCGGCACTGGAATAGAATGAAAAGTTCTTACCTCTGGTTCTTTCTTCTTCTTGATTTCAGTCTCCTTCATGTACTGTTCTTCAAAGTTGTTGGTGCTAGTTTCTTGAAATGGAGTAAAAGGGGTTGCTCTATCTTCACCATTATTCACATTCTGCTTCTCAGTTTCCACCAACACCGGCGTCGGAATGACATCAGCAACACCACCACCACCACCAGCAAGAACAGCATAGATTCTTAAAGCAATATCCCCTTTAATATGTGAAAAGATTCCTCTTTTATCAAGTGGGTATCTCTGAACTAAAGCTTCAGAATCAGAAAAAGGGATAAAAGCACCAGATATCTTAACACGACCAAGAAATTTCTTGTGATGTCCCTGTTTTTGGTCATCATAAGCATAAACAGAGATTGTCTGATTTTCAAGGTCTCTTGGACTCTTGATGTTGAAAACAAGAGGATTGAGATCTTTGTTTTTAGTTTGAGTTCTTTGAAGTTGCTCATCAAAATCTACTGCAACAAAAGGACTTGCCGAACCTTGTCCATCCTTAGGCATCAAAATCTATCGCAACAAAAGAACTACTACTATTAACTTAGCCATTGAAGATAATCAAGAAACTACAGACAGACAAAAAAAAAAGTAACACCTTTTGAGGTCAAGTAGGTGTATGGAGTAGAATTGAAGCAAAATGGAGTTATCTCTGGGATTCAAAATAGTGACACACACAAACACAAAAAAAAAAGAAAAAAAACGCATAATTCTAATTTGGAAGTTAAAAAGTACAATGTTTTTGATACCCTCATAATCAAAATATAAATATGTGTTTACAAAAGTAAAGTAACAGATAATAATAGCTATACAAATATATATTTTGATGTAGAAAATATAAAATAATTAATTTAATTGAGATTAGTTTTCTAATGATTATATACTTTAGATCTAAATTATTTTAAACTATAATCTATATATTACTCCATTAATGTCAATGGAAACTTGTTTATTTATGCACTGAGAAGTTTTTGCACGTTTATATTACTTGACCTTCATTTTAAAAATAGTCATTTTGATTTACTTGTCCAATAAATGAAATCAAAAGAGTTTTTTGATATACTTTTATTTCTACCCTTTATATTCCTTCGCTCCCTAGTTACTTGTCAACTTTTGAATTGACATACAACATTTTACCTTTATAAATTATAAAGTTGATAAATCTAAAATTTAAAATTTTCAATAAATTTTACCTATTTTTTAAATAATTAATTGAGGATTTAATAGGTAAAAATATTTTATCATTTCTTGGTTATTTAAATTGGACAAATAATTAGGACAATCAAAAAAGAAAAATAAATAAATAATTAGGATAGAGAAAGTATTAAATGACTATATATTCAAATTTAAAGTTTTAAAGCACTATTAATAGAAAGTAAAAAAAGACAAAACACGCATACCACACACTTGATGCAACAAATTCATAAAAATATTATTCTATTTATAATGTTAATAAACTTAATTTTTTAAATAAATACCTAGGTTAAAAAATAAATTAATATAATTCAAAAAGATATTACACATAACAAGGATAAAATGGCCAAAGCATAAAATAAAAAGGGGAGTATGATCATTACATAAATCCCATAGTTTTAATATGAAATTACAGTCTATCTCTAATAAGTTTTTCATTACATCAATTCCTTAAAAATTTAAAACATCGGATACAATAATTGAAGCTCGAATACATTAATATGTAGTTCGATGCATTAATATGTAGCTTAAATACATTAAATTTTGGCTCAAATACATTAAAAACTAGTTCTGATACATAATATGTAGTTTGGATACATTAGTATGCAACTCAAATACATTTAAAAAAATTAGAAATTTTTAAAAGTAATAGAGGGTAATGAAAATAAGTGAGACAAAAATGTGTATTTTTTTATAATTTGTCATATTATCTATCACCCAATGGTTTGCAGAATTATCCATCTCGTGTGTATTACTATCAAACAAAGGTTTTTTTTTCTACATGGAGTATAATAATAATAAGATTTAATAATGATGTATTAATAATGCTTATACTAGAAAATTTGTATTACTTAATTGTATTTATATTAATTATGTAAAAATTAATTTAAATACATTATTTTGTTTTGGTCTAGCGTATCAAAAATAGTTTGTATTGTATAGTTAGATTTATTCACAAAGATATCCGCTATAAATATTATGAAAAAAAAACTAAGAGGCACTTGAGTCATAAATTATTAATATCATAAAATTTTATGTTTTAATAATACATACCTTAATACAAACAAATTAAAATATATACCAAATAAAATACACATTGTTTCTTATGATACATTCTATCAAATGTCACCTTAAGGGATCGTTTGGTAGGCCGCATTAAAACAAATAGTTCATGTATTATGTATGGTATTATTTAATACTATGTTTTGTAGGAAATTGGGTCTATGTATAACTAATCCTCCTATATGGTATTATATGATGTATTACTAATACCTTCCACTTGGAGGTATTAGTAATACATGAGATATAATACCATGGGATAAGTCTATTAAAGACAAAAATATCCCTCAAACCATTTTAATTATTTTGTTTATTTTCTTGATTTTATATTCTATGTTTGTGCTAGTATTTTTTTTAAAAAAATAAATTAACTTACAATTTATTCAAAGAGTTGTTTGTGCGATTTTTTTAATTATTTTTGTTTTGAACAATTTATAAAATTGAATACATATTAAAATTACAACTTGTAATTTTTATGTGTAATTGTAGATGGTTTATTCAATTTTCTTATTGTTTACCATCTTTTCAATTTTAAAAGTTAATAGTTTATTTTTGAAAAAAATTAAAATTATCATTTTGTAAGTAATCAATTTATTAAGATGACAATTATTTATCTTCAAATAATTTAAGTGGAAAAAAGGCAAACATGACGATAAAATTATTCTTTTCATAGCTAGTTACAAGGTCATAAAAAAGAATATTGTCCTTCAATTATTTACCTTAATCCAACTGCATAGTAATGTTGAAGGAAGCTGATGAAACATGTCAAAGGAACAGGTTCGGTGAAGCTGTTTGACGAGTTAGAAGTTTGAGTTACACTAGGACTAGATTACTCAATCCTAATTTATGTACAAGTCTAAACTTTGTACGACTAAAGCTGATGTTGTAGACTAGGATAAGGTACATAATATATTTATGTTGTGTTAGGATTCCTAGTGTAGCTAGTATAGGATTTTCTCCTATATAAAGAGTATATAACTCAATCATTCAATCATCAATACAATCCTTGATTCTTCACATATCTGTGAGAATTCTACATGATATCAGAGTGATAAAGTTTTTCCGCTCTGTAACGTACTATATCTAACCAAAAACAACCAAATTATCAAACCACAATGGCCCTTTCTACCAACACTCTTTCGACTTCTTCACTTCATCACCTTATTTCGTCCCGCTCCATTAAACTTAGGCCGACGAACTATCTTCTGTGGAGGAAACAAATGACTCAATTGATTCAAGTGATGAGATTAACCTATCTCATCACAGAATCACCTAAAGAGACTCGTTCCACTGGACAAGCTACTGAGAAAGCTGTAGCAGGCGAGAAGGTTGTAGAAGACAACAACATTGTTGATGACTGGGAAGAGAAGAATGTGTTACTAAGGATTTGGATGTCAAACTGATATGCTCAAACTTACTTATCAAATAAGAAGTAAAGCGGTCGTGTCAAGTAAATAACCCAACTAGTGAGGTTGGGATCGTTCCCACGAGGAAAATAGTCTAGACTTAACTTCAATCTATTATTACTTTTGTTTAGTCAATGACTTCCTTGGAAAGTAAAAACAATAAAAGGGGGGTTTCTATTTCTAAATGAATGAAAATAACTAATGAAATTGAAAGAGACACTTAACAGCTTTAAATGTTGGAGTTTAATCAATTAATCGAAGTAACTAGGGTTTACGTGTTCCCCAAAGGTTCATAATGTGATAATTCTAACTATAACAATTCTTTCCTAGTATCTTGCATGCAAAGTGATAAGTTATGTATTTCTAAATCCTTGGTTCGGCATCTAGAAAATCACACTCCGCACCTTGGTCCGGCTACGTATGTTGCTATCCTAACCCTTATCTTTACCTTATATGAAGCATTGTATTCGATATTTGACTAAGTTATTACCTCGTACCAATCAATACTTGCCTATTAAATAGTATACACTAAATCTATGTTGATAATTCTTTTCCTATTATCTACCTCCTTGGTCCGGCAAGTAGCATTAAGGCGAGTTCTAACGTTGGCCATCCGTTAAAAAGACTTCTAAGCGAAAGAATTATTAATACATGCAAGACACTATTCTAGAATTGTTATTTTAGTTAGGTTTTATCTCATTATTTGTCTATGGTTCCCACAACCCTAGTTATGGAGTTTAGTTACCCATAGTCAGAATCACAATATTCAAATATATCAGATAAAAATTCATGTACTTACTTAAATGAGAAAGAGTAAAATTTAAAAGTTTGCTTGATTAATCAGCAATAATCACCCACAATCAATGATAAAAGTCTCAAGATAATCAATAATCTCTCAAAGAGTCTACAAATTAATCAAGAGTCTAACACTAATACACAGTCTAACAATACGGAGTCTAACCCCAAAAACGAGGTTTTTCGAACTATTTATAGAAACTAAAAACCTAATTAAACAAGGACTAAATTTGTTGGAAATCTGTCAAAACGCGGCTGGGTCGACGGACCTCGCGACGGATCGTCGTTGTCACAACGGACCATCATGGACTCCGTTGTCCCATACTTGTGCAATTTCTTCTGATGCTCTCTTCACACCCTCGACGGCAAGTATGACAGACCGTCACAAACACGACGGTCCGTCGAGGGTCTCGTTCCAAAATACTTCAACTCTTGGAATATGGGTACTAGGATTACTTCTCTGAACTTCATGACGAATTTGCAGGACGGACCGTCATAGAAACGACGGACCGTCATGGACCCCATCTTCCTTCAGCAGCTGTACTACGCTGCCACCTACGGACCGTCACAAGCACGACGGACCGTCACAGTCTCCGTAGGTGGTCTCTTCTGCATTTCTTCGCTCAAAATCTCCGCATTCATCTTTGGATAGATTTTCTGCAAATAAAGAGAAACTTATATAAAAATTAGCGCAAAAAGGGTTTTGGACACACTAAACTTTAAGGAAAAAGTATTAATAATACCGTGAAACACGGTATATTAATA